GTCGCGCTACAGCGTCGCGCTACAGCGTCGCGCTACAGCGTCGCGCTACTGCGTCGCGCTACAGCGTCGCGCTACTGCGTCGCGCTACAGCGCCGCTTCGCAACGTACTGCTATTTCCAACGTTAGGATGATTAGAGTTGCTTACAGAGAAAAGTGGAAAGGTTGCTGGAGTTTTCTTGAGAAATTCACGGAAAGGTGAGACTGATACAGCTGTAACTATCCGACGCCAACTTGACAGTTACTCCATTAGTCACTATTCTTCTGGTACTGCTTTTAGCGTAACAGTGTCCTTCTGTCCTAATTAAGAGCATTTTCTGCAAAAAACACCCAAAGAGTACTCGCGCCACCTAAAAAAGCACGCATGTTTTTTTACCGGAGACACAAGAACCATAAAGGAACTTCTTGTTCGCCTTGTGTTAACGCATTGGTGACCAAACAGTCTTCGCGTGCCTGTTGTGTGAGATAAGGCCATTTTTTTCTGCTGACGACAAATGCGACTGAACGAAATGTGTGTTGGTTTGCCATTTGTACGTGGATGCCAAAAACTATTTCGTCATCGGAGTCAACGTGAGGCACCACTGCAAGGCATCAAGCAAAGCCATCAAACATCAATAGCAACTCTGAAACCAAATAATTAAAGTCAAACACGGTAAATAAAACCAATTATAACGGTCTCATTTCTTTTCTTTCTTTCTTGGTTTCATTTCTCAAGAAAACTCCAGCAACCTTCCACCTTTTCTCTGTAAGCAACTCTAATCATCTTAACGTTGGAAACAGCAGTACGGTCCGAAGCGGCGCTGTAGCGCTACGCAGTAGCGCCGCGAACGCTTGTGCGCGACGCTGTAGCGCTACAAGTTGTGAACGCGCCTTAAACATTTTATATGATACAATTCTTATTCATTTAATGGGAAAGTGTAATATCCCCATTTTCACATTCAACTGGGTGCGGACGGGGTTCAGGACGTCCGATGTGAGCCGGTGTGTCATCTGCATGCGCGCTTCATCGTGCCGCCGCACATGAACGAGAAGTCAATAAAAAAAAAACAAAATAAAATTTGGCGCGAAAAGTGTCACAACAAGTCGAACGGGATGCTGCGCACATTGAGCTAGTTTAGTTACTCGCGCCGTCACTCGCGACCTTCCTGGATTTTCAGCCACATCCTGGAATTATTCCTTTCCTTTCATGTCTTAGGCAGCGTTCAGACTGCGCGGTGACTCGGATCGACGCTAATATGAGCTCCCTACAATTGCCAACAGCCGCCTAAAGATCCTATAGACGCGAACGCAACCACAGACGGGAATGCAGCTGACCTTAACTCGGATATCTGCCAGTCCGGGTATTGATCGGCACTGCGCCGCTAGGCCTCTACGCGAAAGTAATCGGAGAGGCGCCGTACCTTGATATTATCCTCTACTCTCTCAAAACACAACGGCCAGCGTCATTCGTTCACGCCTGCGGCTGTCGTTCGTGTCTATAGGATCCACGAGCTGTTGCCACTGAAGCGGCGTCGCCGTGGTTACAGCGCAGCGAATGCGCTGTTATGCGCCGTGTAAGTCGAACGCTTCCTTATGACCGTCTTTCAACCTTATATTTCTCAGTTTGCTGAAGAATACCTTGTTATAGGACAGTTGGTGTGAGACCGCGACAAAAGCATGGTCCGCTACGATTTTGCTGGCAGTTCAATGGAAAAGCAGTTGAATCGTGAACGCCCAGATGTCGAAACCCCAGGGGTAAGTACGTCGTGGAAGGCTCGACGCGGGACTCCTACGCGGCTATCCGCCTAAGGTTGTTGCTTCGTTGGATAGAGATTTGCTGCCTGGGGCCGATAAATCTAGTTGTTACAAAAGATATCACCTGGATTCGCCGAGTTGATGAATGCTTTCAGTTGAAATTCACGATTCTGAGGGAACGTCACTCTCACCGTTCAAAATTGAGATTCCCAGGGAATTAAAACAGCCACATCGTGGAGCGATAAGTGCCCGTGAAATTGCACTCGCCGACTTTCTGTTGTCTCCCCATCGCATAAAGGAGATGTGAATGTGAGCTTAGCTACCGAGAACCACGGCTGGGCTAGGATTCAGCGCCTCAGGAAACTTCGGCGGTGACGCGCGTCGACGCTTTGCGAAGCGCTACCATTACAATACGTTCGAGTGGTACAGACGGGAAGTCGGCTGTAGACGACTATCAACGACCGTCGCGCTAGTGTTTGGAGAGGATGGACAGAGAATGAAAGCAGACTGTTTATAGGACATATGTACCCTCCTGTTTTCCGGTACTCTATTAAAAAAACAAACGGCTGGCTCCGATGGATGCCACACACGATGCGGTCTTCCCGTCTGGGCGTTTTCAAGCACACATCGCAATGGTAGCCGCGACATCGCGTAATCTGAACGCTGTATTGCACGCTCAGCTACCATGACGGTTGTTTTTCAGCAGCCTCCTCGAAATGGCGCAAAGATTCAACTGCGTTGGTTGGCAGCACGAGTAGAATGGATGAGTCGAGCAGTGCTTATTGGTCGATGCGAAAAGCCTGCTATCTCACTTGGAGACGAGTTTTCCCGAGAAAGGGATGATGATGGAGAGGTAAAGAGGACTGCTCAGAGTTTTAGTTCAGGAGAACATTATGTCATTTTAATAGCTCGAAATAGCAGGGTGACTTAGAGACAAGTTTCGTATTGATGGAGGGGACGAAGACTCACAGATATCATATGATGGTGGCTGCTGAATTCTGCTCCTTGTCGTTGCTCCTTGTCCATCGCATTCATCGCTGCCTTGAATATTCCGCTTCGCTATGACCCAGACATGAGCAACAGACTACTTGTCTATCCCCGGCGATGGTTTGATTCGACAACTACACACGCGTACAGCTGTGCAACGCTTATCGCCGTGACATACATCGGTGATACCTCTGCAAAAACAACACATCTATGATACATTACTCTTCTACTGCTATTAGCACATAGAGAACATGGCGCTTCCTCTTTTTTTCAATCGCTATAAGAGACTTCAACCGACTAATTATTTGTTTCTTGTGTCCTCGCTTCACATTCTTTGCATTCTTCGCGACATCCTCTCCTGCCCCCCTAATCCCCTTCTAATACATGCTCCAGTCAAGCGAACTACTATTCGTTTATTTGCTGCGCTTGCTTATTTCTGCACTTTGCAGACCAATGCTGGCTTGGCGCCTTTTTCGCCAGTGGTGCCATACTGAACCTGGTACCATTGGGGAAAACTGCCCCAGCCAAGCCTTAAGCTACATCTTTGTCGCAGCCCTATCGTTTGTGGAAATCATTACTGTACGTGGGGCTGGTATTGTACATGACAATATTACATAGGATCTTTATTATTCTTCTTCTCGAGCGGTGGGGACCCAGATTCCACGGCTTTGCGCTATCGGCTTTCTAAGACATTTCATGAAGATCATTCAGCGAGAAATTCATTTCCTCGTGATCCCATACTGAGTTTACGCGAATTCCAGTACATTCGTGCCTGCGTACGACTGAATGTGAAGGGATCATGGGAAGATCTGCAGCTGGTGATCACTCGATGTACGGTTGACGATATTCAAAAGATCATCAACAAGTTGAAGACCTTCTTCGAGGTGGGTTTTTTCAGTCCTCTTGACATCGGATTCTGGTCAGGAGATTTGAGTTGCGGTGACGTTGTAAAAGACTTGTGTGTGCATCTTATGCATCACTTGTTGTACTGTGATGGGTCACCCCTGCTGTGCTCAAATTTCCGCCGCAATTCGGATTTCCTGCCCGTACTTCGAGCACCTCAATCAAAATCTATATGGTTAGCTAGCATTAATGCTGTTTAGGAGCAACTCAAGAGCTCTAAAATGGTGTGGGGTATACATGAGGACAGCACAGCAGCAGTCAGCAATTCCAAAGAACAGCAAGGCACTGCTGATACGCCAGCATCCGCGACAAAGATCTGGCAGAAGGTGCGTGTAGTCCTGGTAATAGTGTTTTCGTCCACAGAAATTGATACTGATTGT